TAAACGAACGCTCTCCTGTAAGTTTGACTTACACACGTAAGCTAATCGAACGCATCCAATGGAGCGAAGACCAAGACCTAGCTCTAGACAACGGCTGCGTGTGCGCTGCGCAAGTGCACGAGCCAAAGCAACAAAATTTCTTCCGACCAGCTTTCCCTTCATAACCAGTGAGGATGTATTTCATCCTGGGTGGACAGAGGGCTTCATTGGACTCAATCACAGATGCCCTCTCAGTTGACGTTTGGTTCGAACTTGCACCCTGGCCGAAGAGGAAATTCTTAAAAACACTGAATACATGTACTGATACATCAGAAATACCTCCCCTACAAACACTGCAGAAGCAACAAGTGCGATTTTAGGCAAAAGTTGTGTTCAACTAAGAGTGAACTTTCTTATTTGGCCTCCCATTGGCGGCGTAGTCAGTGTTTGTAAGTAAACAAAAGAAATGTCCACTCCTGTATTTACAGCCAAGATCGTCAGGTAGGGTGTTTGATCGTTATTTTATGGTGCACAATAAGAATTAGAAAGGGGTTGGGAAACAAGATCCGCATAATGCAGTGTTGGTGTTGCAACACAGCTTGTAATGAACTTAATAGTAGGTGATTACGACCAGGAGCTCCAAAATCTTGTAAACGCATTTCGAAATTTGTTCAGCACACGACCGCGTCACGGCGCCCAATAGTGGCGCCCACTCACAACGCTGGCTCGACTCTGGGATGTTCATAAGTGAAACAATTGAAATGTTGAATGAACTCTTTTTATCAGGGTTTTTTGACATATTTTCCTTTCTCCTAATTCTGCATCGGGGAAAAAAAGGCCTATTTTGCACTACGCTATTCAGAGTTTCTGAGTTCGTAACCCAACAAAATTTTTTAAATGCTGGCACTAGTAAACAGACCAGTTGAGTATAATAAGGCAAACTGAACAAACCAACTGCGAAAAAAACCGATTAATTAAAGACTCAAGCAACGCGTGTCCCCACTACCTGTGTGGCTAAAACTGTCAAAGTACTTGTCACCGATTAACAACAATTTGTAAGTCAGGTGGTGCCACCTTCCCAGCACCCGGACGTTAAAAACTTATAACTTTATAATGTTTTTCTACCAGTGAATCTTCTTGATCAATAGTGAAATATTCGAAGTTTCGTTCAACCTGATTTTGACATCTGGCAATGACAAGCTACGTTGCAACGGCGGGATGTCCCAAAGTCTATTTCAATGTGCAGTGTGGTCCTTTTGTATTTAAATATTCAGCTTTAAAACGTTTAAAGACTCGAATCAAGCCAAGCGTGACCCCGCTACCCGTGGGGCGAAAAGCTATCAAAGCACGTGTCAAAGATTAACTACAGTTCTTTAAGTCAGGCTGTGCCACCTCCCCAGCACCTGGGCGTTAACATTTATATGATATATATATATTTTGTACCAGTATCACTCGTTTTTTTTATAACAGTGTGGAAAAATGGTCGCGTTGATGAGAAAGATTTCCTTTAAACGACCACGGTCTGACGGTGAGGCCTTTACACTCAGGTGGGATTTTCACGAATAAATTGTTGTTTTGCATGGATTTTAGGGGTGTTAATTTGAGGAGATCGCGGCCCAGTGTGTGCATTATAAGCGTGTTCGCGTGCAGGATTCACAGAATCTCCATGAAGCAAAGGGTTGGTGCACACATTGAAAATAGAACAAGTGCTTCAATAAACCTTGTAGATATGGAAACGTTGAAGATTGTAACCATGAATGAAACAGTTCCTTCTGAACACCCCTTGTAATGAATGAAATAGGCCAACAGGCCGTTGAACGCACACCACGCGCAAACCCCTTCCGGTAGAGGGGGCGATGTCGATGGTACAAATGTACATGTGACACAAGAAAATGCACAAGGATGGTGTACATTTACTGGTCTGGTTCTTTTAATGGTGTTGCTGCATTGCGGGAAAAGAAGACCCCCAGCCTTGGCTATCTCAAACTTCTGAAGAACTTGATGCTAGATGTAGAGTTATTAAGCAGGGTGAATTCTTAGTATGGAATTCCATATCTGCCGTCGTCCGTCGCATTTTGC